TACAATACATTCAGAATATCCTATTTTTTGGCGTAATCTGAATGTATTATTTTATTTAACGAATTTGTTTCTTTTTAAAATTTATATTAAAAATATTTCTTTTGCTAATTTAAAAGATTAAACTGTTCCTTTATGAAATAAACCACCTATAAAATCCCCACCCAAAAAAAAAAAAAAGACTAGTCAAATTTCTCTTTTTATTACCATACAAGAAAAAATACTTTTACTTTGATCAATATATGAAAAAAAAAAGCTATTAAAGGGTTCAGGTGCTTTTAATTTCTTTTTTTGGGAAATTTGGGGGAGGTGCTCTTTAATTTCGCATTGCCTGCATCGTTAAAAATTGGTTTTGGTCAGCAAAAAGTAGATGTTTCACTGTACACAGTCGCTGTTTTTTCTTTTGGTCATTTCCTACCGACTACTCATTCCAGTCGCTCTTCTCCAATAGCGTTGATCGTCACAATCTCGGTGTTGGTGAACTTACGTCGGCGTTCGACGCTGAACAGGCGAGATCGATGAGCGCGGAGTAGTTGTGATTGGGCCTGATGCTTCTTTAGATTCATCTGTGGCACATAAAGGAGGAGTGGGAGGAGAAGAAGGTGAGAAGGATAGGGTGGCGATTCGGATCATGGCGCGTTTCCTTTGCACCGCGGTGGTCTCTTTGGGTGTATCTTTCTTGCTTTCGTTCGTATTCGGGCTCCTGGCCATCGTGATGGGGAGCTTGTCGGCGCCAAATCCAGTTATGCTTCCGGCGATTTGTAGGATTGTATCTAGCAGTGAGTTTCCTGGTCTTTTGGGTGCGAGTTATTTAATTCAAGTGAAATTTTTATGTAGATTTAAATTGAAAGTATTGTGGCTATTCCTTTGTCTTTTGAATATAAAACCCTCGTAAATGATTGCTGACTTCAAGCTGATTTGTAAGCGTTCTAACCTCATATTTTCCCTCAAAGGATTTTGGAGACATTTGAATATTACGGTCGGAAAAGTTCTTGGTTACTTGATTTTGCTGACCGAAAGACCTTAGATGCTTGCTGAAAAAAAAAAGGATTTATTTTTCTACTGTTAATTTTTGCGAGATTATAAAGTTTCGACTGTGCTTTAAGAGCGTCCAATGCTCGTGGAGCTTGTGGGAGTCCAATCCGGCTACTCTTGCGGCTTAGGTGGCAGTATGCTTCTTTTGTGGCGATATTTTTTGTTTAGTGAATTTTGTGGAGATTTATACGGAAAGTTGTTCGCTTTGGCTCTTTTTGACTTTGGATGATAAACCTTGCAAATGATTGAATTTTAATGGGTAGGGGGCGCTGGTTAATCCATTGTGCTTGCCGAGGATTTAGCCTTTCTGAAACAGTAGGTTTAGTTTCTTAATTGGAGTTTTTAGAGCTTTTTAACCTTTGGGTAATGATCTTAAGAGTTATGGTCGTTACTAATAAGACAGGTATCTGAAGAAGTCTCGGTAATATTGAGATCTTTATTTATAAACCAAAAATTGCAAGGGGGCTGCTGTTTTCATCGATTTTTTATTTTATTTTATTAATTTTATTTTTTATGC